TTGACGTGCTGTAGGAGTGTGAGCAAAGTAACATTTATGAAGGGTGTTCAGGGAAACCGGCAGGCCGGACTTGAGTCCTGGAGATGGGAAGTAACAGTGCCTGCACTCTGAAGGAGGGGTGTTAATGTTGCAGTTTAAAAACTGTAGTGTAAAGCACCCTTCTGGCAAGACAGTGATGGAGTGAATGATGGTGAAAGTTTTTCTTTTTCGGGCCACCCTGCCTTGGTGGGAATCGGCCAGTGTGATAATAAAAATAAATAAATAGTTTGGAAGAAGTACAATGCCTGCACTTTAAAGGAGGGGTTTGGGATATTGGCAGTTTGGAGGGATATGTTGTGTATCTTTATATGTTTATGCTTCTAGACTGTTGTATTCTGAGCACCTCTGCAAAAACAGTGATAATGTGCGAGTGTGGTGAAAGTGTTGAATGATGATGAAATTATTTTCTTTTTGGGGATTTTCTTTCTTTTTTGGGTCACCCTGCCTCGGTGGGAGACGGCCGACTTGTTGAAAAAAAAAAAAAAAAAAAAAAGTTTGGAAGAAGTGAATGTTTTCAGATATTTGGGAGTTGACGTGTCAGCAGATGGATTTATGAAGTATGAGGTTAACCATAGAATTGATGAAGCAAAAAAGGTGAGTGGTGCGTTGAGGTATATGTGAAAACAAAAAAACGTTATCTATGGAGGCAAAGAAGGGAATGTATGAAAGTATAGTAGTACCAACACTCTTATATGGGTGTGAATTTTGGGTTGTATATGCTGCAGCGAGGAGGCGATGTCGTCCTATCTAAGGGCAGTGTATGGAAATTAGGAGGTATGGAGTTAATGAAAGTATTAGTCAGAGGGGTTGTGGAGGTTGTTTGGTCATTTAGAGAGAATAGATCAAAGTAGAATAACATGGAGAGCGTATAAATCTGTAGGGGAAGGGAGGGGTAGGGGTCATCCTCGAAAAGGTTGGAGGGAGTGGGTAAAGGAGGTTTTGTGGGCGAGGGGCTTGGACTTCCAGCAAGCGAGCGTGTGTGTCTTAGATAGGAATGAATGGAGACGAATGGTATTTGGGAGCTGACGAGCTGTTGGAGTGTGAGCAGGGTAAAATTTAGTGAAGGGATTCAGGGAAACCGGTTATTTTTATATAGCCGGACTTGAGTCCTGGAAATGGGAAGTACAAACCCTGCACTTTAAAGGAGGGGTTTGGGATATTGGCAGTTTGGAGGGATAAGTTGTGTATCTCTATACGTATATGCTTCTAAACTGTTGTATTCTGAGCACCTCTGCAAAAACAGTGATTATGTGTGAGGTGAAAGTGTTGAATGATGATGAAAGTATTTTCTTTATGGGGATTTTCTTTCTTTTTGGGTCACCCTGCCTCGGTGGGAGACGGCCGACTTGCTATAAAAAAAAAAATCGGCCATCTCCCACTGAGGCAGGGTGACCCAAAAAGAAAATACTTTCATCATCATACAATACTTTCACCTCACACATAATCACTGTTTTTGCAGAGGTGCTCAGAATACAACAGTTTAGAAGCATATACGTATAGAGATACACAACTTATCCCTCCAAACTGCCAATATCCCAAACCCCTCCTTTAAAGTGCAGGCATTGTACTTCCTATTTCCAGGACTCAAGTCCGGCTATATAAAAATAACCGGTCTCCCTGAATCCCTTCACTAAATATTACCCTGCTCACACTCCAACAGCTCGTCAGGTCCCAAATACAATTCTTCTCCATTCACTCCTATCTAACATGCTCAATCACGCTTGCTGGAAGTCCAAGCCCCTCACCCACGAAACCTCCTTTACCCCCTCCCTCCAACCTTTTCGAGGACGACCCCTACCCCGCCTTCCTTCCCCTACAGATTTATACGTTCTCCATGTCATTCTACTTTGAGCCATTCTCTCTAAATGACCAGACCACCTCAACAAACCCTCTTCAGCCCTCTGACTAATACTTTTATTAACTCCACACCTTCTCCTAATTTCCATACTCCGAATTTTCTGCATAATATTTACACCACACATTGCCCTTAGACAGGACATCTCCACTGCCTCCAACCGCCTCCTCACGGCAGCATTTACAACCCAAGCTTCACACCCATATAAGAATGTTGGTACTACTATATTTTCATACATTCCCTTCTTTGCCTCCATAGATAACGTTTTTTTTGTCTCCACGTATATCTCGACGCACCACTCGCCTTTTTTCCTTCATCAATTCTATCATTAACCTCATCCTTCATAAATCCATCTGCTGACACGTCAACTCGCAAATATCTAAAAACATTCACTTCTTTCATACTACTCTTCCCCAGTTTGATATCCAATTTTTCTTTATCTAAATCATTTTATACCCTCATCACCTTACTCTTTTCTATGTTCACTGTCAACTTTCTACCTTTACACACACTCCCAAACTCATCCACTAACCTTTGCAATTTTTTTTTAGAATCTCCCATAAGCACAGTATCTTCAGCAAAAAGCAGCTGTGTCAATTCCCATTTTGTATTTGATTCCCCATAATTTAATCCTACCCCTCTCCCGAACACCCAAGCATTTACTTCTTTTACAACCCCATCTATAAATATATTAAACAACCATGGTGACATTACACATCCCTGTCTACCTATTCCATATACAGTGGACCCCCGGTTTACGATATCATTTCATTCCAGAAGTATGTTCAGGTACCAGTACTGATCGAATTTGTTCCCATAAGGAATATTGTGAATTAGATTAGTCCATTTCAGACCCCCAAACATACACATACAAACGCACTTACATAAATACACTTGCATAATTTGTCGCATTGGGAGCTGATCGTAAACCGGGGGTCCACTGTACTTGCAACATCTGCCACATTGCTCCCCTATCCACTCTATCATATGCCTTTTCTAAATCCATAAATGCAATTAAAACTTCCCTACCTTTATCTGAATACTGTTCACATATATGCTTCAATGTAAACACTTGATCTACACATCCCCTACCTACTCTAAAACCTCCTTGCTCATCCACAATCCTACATTCTGTCTTACCTCTGAAAAAAAAAAATGTATATACAGTGGATCCCCGAGTTTCATGATTAATCCGTTTCATAGAGCCTGCCGAAAGTCGAAATTCACGAAACTCGAAACCATTTTCCTCATAAGAAATAATGGAAATTACGGGAAATTAATGGAAATTGCGGGATTACCAAAACTGTTGTCCAGAGGGCTGAGGAAGGGTTGTTGAGGTGGTTCGGACATGTAGAGAGAATGGAGCGAAACAGAATGACTTCAAGAGTGTATCAGTCTGTAGTGGAAGGAAGGCGGGGTAGGGGTCGGCCTAGGAAAGGTTGGAGAGAGGGGGTAAAGGAGGTTTTGTTTGCGAGGGGCTTGGACTTCCATCAGGCATGCGTGAGCGTGTTTGATAGGAGTGAATGGAGGACAAATGGTTTTTAATACTTGACGTGCTGTTGGAGTGTGAACAAAGTAACATTTATGAAGGGTTCAGGGAAACCGGCAGGCCGGACTTGAGTCCTGGAGATGGGAAGTACAGTGCCTGCACTCTGAAGGAGGGGTGTTAATGCTGCAGTTTAAAAACTGTAGTGTAAAGCACCCTTCTGGCAAGACAGTGATGGAGTGAATGATGGTGAAAGTTTTTCTTTTTCGGGCCACCCTGCCTTGGTGGGAATCGGCCAGTGTGATAAAAAAAAAAAAATTAATCCATTTCAGCCACCCAAAAATATTAAAATAAAATATTTTTTTCAAATTAAATAGATTTATATACTGAAATCAATGAGAAATCAAGTACATGCATATAAAAAATAATAATATTACACTTACCTTTACTGAAGACTTCTGGGTGGATGGAAGACGGGAGGAGGGGATAGGAGGAAGGTGTACACTATTGTTTGGAAGGAGAATCTCCTTCCATTAGGACTTTAAGTAGCAAGTCCTTATCTGGTATTACTTCCCTTCTTCTTTTAATGCCACTGGGAACAACTTGAGAGTCACTGTACCCCTGTCGCACAAAATATCTGTCCAGAGAGGTCTTTTTCTGGCGTTTCTTAAAGATTTTCCTGAAGTGGGACGCAACACTGTCATTGTACATGTTGCAGATATGGCTTGTTTCAGCTCTGTCATGATGATACTTTTCAACAAAACTTTGCAACTCATTCCACATGGCACAAATCTCCTTAATCTTTGAAGAAGGCACCTCATCCACTCCCTCTTCCTCCTCCTCTGAAGCAAGTTCCTCGGCTGTGGTCTGATGCTGTTCCAGTTGAAGCTCTTGCAGTTCATCAGTGGTTAGCTCTTCCCTGTGGTCCTCCACCAACTCTTCCATATTCCCGTCACTCACCTCCATCCCCATGGACTTGCCCAATGCCCCAACACCTTCCACAACAGGCAGAGGGTCGGCAAGGACAGGGCCTGCCTCAGACTCTTCAAAATCCCTCTGGATCGTGTTCCTCACTTTATTTACCAAAGGGCTTGCACTAGCTTTCCTTGGGTCCATGATGACTTATTTAGCAGTTGCAAGCACAAAAAATAATGGATTATTATGAAATGTATTGTATGAACCCGCGGGGTGATGGTCACACGTTGGTAGACAGTGACACACTGAGCGTGAATGGCGTGGGAGACTGGCTTGGTGTGTGGGGTGATGTGCCAACGGGTACCGGACGGTCGCCGAAACACGAGTCTAATCACGAAACTCGAGGCCAAATTTTGCCAAAAAAAACTCGCCGAAGGTCGAATTTTACGAAAGTCGAGGCTGCCGAAACTCGAGGGTCCACTGTATATGTATATGTTATCTTTTCATTCAATTATCTTTTGATCTTAACATACTTATTAGTCACATTTATTGATTTTTAAGTTTGTTTTTGACAGTTAAGGAAAGATGTATTGATGATAGAAGTGTGAATAATGTAAATACAGATTCAGTGACTAGCCTTGTTTGTTGAACTTGGATAAAGAAAGTATTTGTACATATTTTTTTTATTTTTTCCAATGCCAATAGGAAAGTGTTTGGGACTGGAGTTGGGCCCAGTCGACGACCAGTGGACGAAGGGTCAGAAAAGTGGCACTACAATGGCATTAGACGACGGGATGGCATTGTTGTTCCACCCATGCCTGATAAGAGGAAGGGCATAAGACTAAATAGTGGTATTCCTGTATATACACCGACTCCAGTAATTCCTGCTGTTAATACAATTAATGCTCAGGTCACTGAAGGAAGAACTCTTGGGTCCATTTTAGGCTCTCCCCAGTTAGTTTCAGCCACGACAGCTCAAACTGATACCATCATATCCCCATCTTCACCTATCTTGAAAGCTCAGCTGTCTGCACCACTCAGACCGTCCCCACCACCGCCTGTCAGACCACCACAGGTAAGACTGGTTTTTTATTACTATTTTTCTTTGTAGTTATTTTGTTCTATACCGGAGGTCAAGTGACTAATAAGGGACTTGTTTGCATTGAAGGGCATGGTGAGTGGTACCATGTCTCAAGGTGTGTATAGCAGTACACAGCAACAACAATCCTCACAGCAGTCACAACAAGTTCAAGCAGGCAGCAGAACAGATAATTCTGCTCTTATCAAGAGTCTTTTGGCCAACAAGGTAACCCCAGTGGGAGTAGGTCAGGCAGGCAGCATGGACCCTCTCCACCCCCACCAGTCTCCCCATTCACGACCCCTTCTTGTTTCCTCCACACCACAGCAACCCAGGGGGACCACAGGTGCTGTATCATTCGTACAAGCACTATCCCAGGGTCCTCCAGGGCCCTTGGGACCCATGCTGAGTCCTACAGGCATTGGATCCTCCCCTGGGATGCAGGTTGTGTCAGGGGGTCTTGTAGGGGGTCTTGGGGGCCAGCATGGACCACACCAGCTACCACCATCACCAGTACAGGTAACACTGTTGTTGTCTACCCATTAACAAGAAGAGCCAGGCTCTGGTGGTGAAGGGAAGCTACGCTACTGCTGCTCACCTGGTGCTCCTGCCCCCTGTGGCTGTACTGCAGCTTTGGTGCCTGGTGCTGGCCTGTCTCTGGTCTGGTCTTGTTCCTCCCTTGTGATGTGAGGAATGGTGGCGGCGGCGGTGGTTTGGGAACAGTTTTGTGTGCGCTCTGCATGTGTATCTCTTGATATAGTTGGAATCTCTGAATAACGCCTTTGGGAAATACTTTTCATTAACACTAACTGACTTACTACTATTCTTGAATGGTATGCTAATCAAAGTGTTTGAAATTGTGACTTACTGTTTATAGGAATGGTTGGTGATTGTATTAAAAAAGCTGTAGTAGTTCTTTCTCTTCTGTAATGCTCTCTTAATGAATGCAGCCTTTATTAACATAGTGAAGTGAAATTCTGCTTTTGTTTTATACATATATACGAGTATGTGTTTACACGCACGTGCACAAATGAGCGCGTGCATGTACAATCACAGCCACCAGTAGGGCTTCAGACATTTATTGTCACTGGGACAATTGTAGGAGTATCTCAGCAGTCAGACTCCGTGTAGGTCTGGTTGGTAATAGGTCCTTTCTGGCATTTTAAAACTGCCATTAACTGGCTGCTATAAAATTCACTTCCCTGGAAGCTAGTATTTTTAGTGGGCTGGGAGCCCTCAGTAGGGATTCAAAATAAATATCCTTTCCCATTAATATAGGATCATTTGTTTTGGGTAGGTATATTTTGTAGTATTAGGTGTGCCTATAGATATGAATAATACAGTACTACATAATGTGTATAGCCATGTTATAATGGAAAAGTAATAAGACTCATCAAAATCAGGCATACAAACATATGTACACATGCAGTAACACACACACTTATAAACTCCTACATACAGAGAGAGAGTGGGAACTCCTTGAGATGTAAACTCAACCCCTTTCTTAGCTGGACCAACTCTTGAGCCAGCTCTATCACTAACGCTGACTTTCCATTCTTCACCACTCTCCCTGTGCCCTTCCCCATCCCCTTCCCTGCCCTTTCTCCAGTAGGGAGGCCCACACTAATCTCAGCCCAACCTCCCATACTCCTGTTTGATGAGCACCACGAAGACGAAGTAGACATAAGCCAGTACATGGTAAGGGAAAGTAGTATCAGTCTGTGGTACATTAATGCAGATAGTTTATCTAATGAGCGATGAATTGAAGGTAAGAACATATGAGGTCACACTAGACATAATTGCTATCACTGAGACAAGTTAACAGTTATATCAGATGTCAGGATACCATGTGTAAGGAAAGTAGTGACATAATTAGTAATTAATGGATTAACTTGCCACCTAATAACAGGAAATTGAGGCAGGAATATGAGGATAACAAATGAGTGATGGTTGACATCATAGTAGAAGCACTCAGGAGTGGATTTAGGGATAAAGCAAAGCTACATATACCGGCAGATTTTAACCATAGGGAAATAGATTGGGAGAACTGGGATACTGGAAATGTGGAGGGCTAAGATGATGGAAGTGAGTATAAGAAACTTTTGAGTCAGCATGTTATGACAATGGAGAGAGATGAGCCAACAAGACTCGATTTAGTGTTTACCTTAGGTACATCTGACAGTATTAGAGCCCTCTGGGTGCTAGTGAACATGCAGTCCTGAACTTTAGAGTATTTAGTGGAAATAAGAGGGAAACACTGTAGGTGGAAAGCCTGACTTTAGAATGGGAAATTTTTAGGGGTTAAGAGGTCTCCTGAATGTTGTTTATTGGGACAGTAAATTAGAAAGTAAGTCAGTGGATGAGATGGAGTACCTAGCTTGAAAATGCTGGGAAGCTGAGGAGACCTTCAATACCAAGAAGATGCTGAAATAAAAATAAAGAGATCACTTGGTTCAACCAGAAATGCAAGGAGGAAAAAGAAAAACAGGAAAGACAGATGAGAACAGAAAAATGAGCTCATTGGCCAGAAACAAGTATGCTAGGGTGAGGAGAAAGGCTGAGAGAGAATTTAAACATGACACTGGCAAAGACGAGGTCTTCTCAGTAGAAACTGGGGCAGTATCGGAGAGACTAAATATGTGAAGTAGGGGGTACTGACAAAATACTGAATGCCATCCACACAACAAGGAAAGAGTTGAAGAAACTTGTCACAATGAATTTTGTGAGAGGTTGCAGAAGCATTGCTTAGACTACTATGATCTACAGTAAATTAATGGATACAGGACTGTAACAATAGGTCAGAAAGATAGCAAATGTAGTTCCTATATTTAACAAAGGAGACAGGAGGTGTTAAAGTACAGATCTGTTTTTCTAACAAGCATACCTTGCAAGGTAATGGAGTAACTTATCAAGGGAAAAGTGTGAAATAGCACTTGGAAAGAGGTGGTTTCATAAACAATAACCAGCATGTGTTTAGGGATACCAGATCTTGTCTTACTAACTTGTTGGAGTTCTATGACAGGAACAGCCACCACCACCCACACCATTTTATTACGGTACAACTACATTTTTCTTGGTTATTACTGTCTCAGATGTATTCATCTTTTGTATATATATATGTGAGAAGTTAGTGTATGTTTGGTACAATTTGTTTGTTAGCATTCCAGCCTATTTAAAAAAGAAAAAAAAGCTGTCTTGAAGATCCAAGGAACTTGACCCTATTTTTCTCTTATGTTGTCCAGCCCAGTAAGAGAAATGTCTGTTAGTGCTGATTTTCAGGATTGTAACCCATGCATTAATTGGGCTTTTACTGTGTGTATTTTGCTTGTGTTTGGCTTGGTGGTGTGTGGGTGGGGGAGGATGTACATATGGGCCTTAAAGAGGTGAAAATAGTTGATTTTATGTGATTTTTCTTAGGAAGGGCAGTGATCCTCCAATTCCCTGCAGTGTATTTTCTGGGAGTTTACAATGTCTGGTATTGGGACATCTTAAACAGTGACCAAGATTTCTTGGTTATGGTTTGTTAGTCGAGAAACTGGAAAAACACAGATTATTTAATTATGATGATGGATTCAAAATAGAGGGCAAGAATTATATAAGAAAGGCCTTGGAATGCAATTAATGAAAAGAGGAAAGGTTGCTTTAGTGGCTGAATGCCTAGAATTTTGTTTTGGACTCTCAGAAAATTCCATTTTGAATAATGCAGTAATGTAAAACTGGCCAAATTACTGAATTCTGGGTGTACTGTAGGGTAGTTCTGATAGTTAATGGGCAGGTTCTTGTGATCACTGTATTGAAATTACATGTGATAAATTTTAAGCAATGTTAAATCAATTTAAACTGACCTATGATATATATATATATAACAGAATTTAGCTAAAAAATTTGGGCCAAAAATAAAAATCTTCATGCTAGCAAAATAGCCAGGAATTGGGTCAGTTTGACCAATGCAGTTAGCAAAAAATAGCCTTCAAATTGGGTGAAATCTCTGATACGTAAAATTCTCCCCAACCTCCAAGTTCACACGAGTATTAGAATTTCCGTGAGTATTACATCATGTTTTGCGTTTTTCTGTCATTGCATTTTAGAGAGCTGAGATAGAGGATAAATTTCTGAAAATGTCAACAGAAGGGGGGGCTTTTAATTTGGGGCATTTAAGCAGTGTTGCTTTAGAAGAGGGTTGACTCCACTGTATTTCAAAGCTGGATACAGTATGTGGATTTTAGCCAGAATTTTCATTTGTACAGTCTATGATTTAGTACAGTATATCATATTGTACATGATTTTATTAAGTATATTTAGTGAATTGTATCGGTAGTAGGTTGGTAGACAGCAACCGCCCAGGGAGGTACTACCGTCCTGCCAAGTGAGTGTAAAACAAAAGCCTGTAATTGTTTTACATCATGGTAGGATTGCTGGTGTCCTTTTTTCTGTCTCATGAACATGCAAGATTTCAGGTATTTCTTGCTACTTCTACTTACAAGCACATATATATACACACCCCTCTGGGTTTTTTTCTATTTTCTTTCTTGTTCTTATTCTTGTTTATTTCCTCTTATCTCCATGGGGAAGTGGAACAGATTTCTTCCTCCGTAAGCCATGCATGTTGTAAGAGGTGACTAAAATGACGGGAGCAAGGGGCTAGTAACCTCTTCTCCTGTATATATTACTAAATGTAAGCGGAGAAACTTTTGTTTTTCCTTTCAGGCCACCCCACCTCAGTGGGATACGGCTGGTGTGTTGAAAGAAAGAAGAAAGTTTAGTGAATTGTCATATAACAAAAAAAAAAATAGTAGTAGTATACCTTTCACGGAACAGTTAACAGATGCGCCTGTCTGTATTTTTGGCTGCTGTGAGGATGTCCAACTGACAGTGACATTGTGTTAATATCCGTATACTTGAGAGAGCACCCACTGTTATAAAATAGAAAATGTTGTAATTTTCTTCTTCATTGATAGAGTATATTCATAAGAATTAATTTTGAATGCAAATTTCATTTTTGCACCAGAACTAACCTAGCAATCTAACCTATCCTTGTGCTAAAATTCACGTAATATAGCTTAATCCAACTCACGCTACCTAAGGTCAGCCACAGAATTTAGTAAATAAAATGAAATTTTCTGAATGTAACTCTATACAGGTACTCTTTCTTGTGGACACTCTATACTCATACTACTCATAATGCTTTTCTTTTAACAGTAATAACAGCTGTGATTGTTACAGGTATCACGAAATATTCAGAAGCAACAATTGCAGCTGCAGCACACAGACAATAGTCAAGACAGCAGTAGTGATTCTCAAATGAGAAAAACTACCTCCTTCAATGGAATATGTAATGAGGTAGGATTTTCTTACTTTTTATTTATGAAACAGTGTATCTTGAATAGAATTTAGCAAGTGCATATACAGTAGTAGTAATGAGTAAAATAAATTTTATTCATTTTTATTGTAATTTTCCACATTCTCTGGAGACTTTTTTAGCAGGAATATCTAATTCTTCAGACACTGTGGTAAATTACATTGAGAAAATTAATAAAAATTATAAGATCTCTTTAACCCCTTTGAGGGTCCAACAATTTAAAAAAAAAAAATTATTTTTTTTCTTATGAAATGGTAGAGAATCTTTTACTGAAGGTAATGGAACAAAAAAGTACGAAATTTGATGGCAAATTGACAAAATTACAAAATTGCTTCAGCAGTATTTACACATCAGCAATTTTGCCCACTTTGACTCCTATTTTTGGCCAATTACATTATTCCAGTTGACCAAATTTTTAGCTATTTCGCTAGTATTACTTCTATTTTATCGATTGAACACGGGGAACTGCCAAATCCCTCAACATTCGTGAGGGTTAGGGGATGAAGAACCTCACGAATGTTGAAAAATCGCGAATGTTTGGTGCCCCAATATATTGTAGGGAAATGTAATACAATACTGCTTCCTTAACTTACTGAACCATGAACAATCATAAAATACACGAAAACATTGTAAAGTATTGTACTATATACACATATGTTATGGTTTAATAACATGTATGTGTATGTTATTAAATACCACTGCCTCAACCACTGTGGCCCACTGCCTCGTATTTTCGTACAATTTCTTTCTTCAATTCTATCGTGTTTCTCAATTTCTGTACCAAAGGGCTGGCACTAGCAAGTTTCTTTGGGTCCATGGTTAATCATGTAGCAGTCGCACTCAGTCTGCAAGCACCAAACACAATGAATTAGTGTGAAATGTTTGGAAGAGCGATGAGGATAATACTCACTCCAGCATAAACAAAGCCACGTTGACTCATGATGCCTCAACCACTGCCTCCACCGCTGCTTCAACACTCGTATTTTTGTACAATTTCCTTCTTCAATTCTATCGTATTATTATTATTTTTATTATTAACATTTATTATTAATTTTTTTTTTTAACAAGTCAGCTGTCTCCCACCGAGGCAGGGTGACCCAAAAAGAAAATACTTTCATCACCCTGCCTCGGTGGGAGACGACCGACTTGTTGAAAAAAAAAAAAATCATTCAACACACTCACCTTACTCACATAATCACTGTTTTTGCAGAGGTGCTCAGAACACAACAGTTTAGAAGCATATACATATAGAGATACTCAACATATCCGTCCAAACTGCCAATATCCCAAATCCCTCCTTTAGAGTGCAGGCATTGTACTTCCCATTTCCAGGACTCAAGCCCGGCTATATAAAAATAACCGGTTTCCCTAAATCCCTTCACTAAATATTACCCTGCTCACACTCCATCAGATCGTCAGGTCCCAAATACCATTCGTCTCCATTCACTCCTATCGAACCCGCTCACGCACGCCTTCTGGAAGTCCAAGCCCCTCGCCCACAAAACCTCCCTCAACCACTGCCTCTACCATAGCCTCTACCACTGCCTTTACCACTGCCTCTACCACTGCCTCTACCACTGCCTCTACCACTGCCTCTACCACTGCCTCTACCACTGCCTCTACCACTGCCTCTACCACTGCCTCTACCACTGCCTCTACCACTGCCTCTACCACTGCCTCTACCACTGCCTCTACCTCTGCCACTGCCTCTGCCACTGCCTCTGCCACTGCCTCTGCCACTGCCTCTAGCACTTCCTCCACCACTGCAGTCACACTCAATCTACAAGCACCAAACACAATAAATTATTGTGAAATGTTTGGAAGAGCACAGATGCTGATGTTCACTCCAGCATAAACAAAGCCACACTGACACATGATGCCTCAACCACTGCTTCAACTATCGTATTTTTGTACAATTTCCTTCTTCAATTCTATCGTATTATTATTATTAGCAGTAGCAGAAATGTTTGATATTTTGCCGTGTTCGAGTAAACAAATGATGTCACCATCCAATACCTGTCTGGATGGCCATTCCAGTATGCAGTCATGAATGGGTTGACATTATTTATACTGTAGTTTAATAGCAAATAATGAACAAACAAAACACTACACTGAGTGGCAGGCGGGCTGGCTGCCAGTTGTAGGGGCCAGAGGGAGGATAGTAGGGACGCACGGGTGACGGAAACTTAAAAATGATTTGGCGGCTGGGAATTCGCAAATGTGTGAAGCCTGTGAAAGTTGAAAATGCAAATGTTGAAGGAGACCTGTATTTCAGCTACCCAATAAAGTGATCAGAAATTGGAAATTTGGCCAATTTCACACAAAGTTTAAAATATTTCAATTTCCACATAGGTTCAGAATAAACGAGGGCATTCCTGGCTCTAAAATAACATTTCCTCTCTCTATTAGTTATGTTTCCAGGCTTTAAGGTTGAATTTCATTTTGAGTTTTTGTTTACATTAAGAATTTTTAATAACACCAAAAAATAGAAGATTTTACTGTTATTCAATATTGTAATAATTGTATAAACAATGTCGGTGCATTCATGACCGTATATTAGACCCACCAGTTGACATGTATTGGACGCATGATGTCATCTGTTTACTCTTGAACATCGGCAAAAATCGAACAGTTCTGCTACTTTGAGCTCAATTTCAAGCTATTTTCAGTATTAATCCTTAAAAACTGTCCAAATGTAGATCTACGTTCGCTCGCACGTAGTTCTCCGAACATAGATCTACGTTCGATTTTACATGCATTCTTATTTAAAAAAAAAAAATCTATGTTTGGAGCTCTATGCGATCAAACTTAGATCTGAGTTTGGACAATTTAAGGATTAAAATCAATTATAATCATTCTATTTCTGTAATATATCTTCCATTCTATTAAATGAGACCAAAAAAACGTGAATACAACAGTAAAAACCATACGAAAATACACTACAAAGTCAGTGTTTTAATCCAAAAAGTCGCATTTTTTTTCCTCATTATGCACTGCATGCTGCAGGATTTGTTTTATATGGTGCACACTTGCCACATCGATGCATTCTCTCGTATCTAGGCCCAAATTTACCGCTCACAGCTTATCTGAATGAGCTGAGCTCATGACGTAGATCTACGGCTTGGACCCTCAGAGGGTTAATGTACTTACAAAATTATTCTGTAAAAATATAAACATGCTTTCTGTTTGTTTGGACAAATAAACGAGAATAAAAAGCAATCATAATTTGATATCAAATTGTAAAGCATAAATATCCCTGGTGCCTTTATGGTGCTGTTGCCAATGGATATTTTTTTTAAATACACTTTTTGAAACCTTTCCCCGCATTCACATGAATTTTAATTTCCAGGTATGCCACTGTTAGGAGGTCAAAGATATTTGTTCAAAGATTTAATTTAAAAATTCCCATTTCAGTGTTCATTCTTCTCCGAATGTTGTTCATGCAGATATGTTTTATAAGCAGTGGAAATTTATGTACTATACTGGATAAATGAAAACACAGAATATGTTCAGTACCATTCTGGTGTGGTAGGAGTGTTTGATTGGTGACATCAATGAAAGATGACAGTTTGTTCACTCATTGTTGATTTGTTTTTGTGTAGTTAATGGGTTGATTTAAATTGAAAATGGTATTATATGTATTAAATGTGGTTACTTTATTTGTCTATAATATCATAATTTTTTTTTTCCAGATAAAACGATGTGAAGAGGATTCAAACTCGTTTCTTTCCTCTGGACTGAATGACAAGAAGGTAACAAGTTTTGAAGGCATCTTACAAAATGGGATAAAGTCTGATATGGACATGAAAGATGAGCCTGCAGAAGAACCTGACAAGAACACTAAAAAGAATGTGTTAGCTGATCTTTTAGAAAAGACTGTTGGTGGAGATATATTAAATGGTGTAGTTGATCGTGAGTTAAGAATTAGTGATAGAGGGCTGGAATTTGTTACCCATGGCCAACAGCTAAAGATTAATGGTCCAGTAACCACTAATGGCCAAACAGGTATTGAATCTGCTCAGGGAGTGAAAAGGCCTGCTACCCCAGATAATGCCCCTGCAAAAAGAATAGCACTGGAGGATCCAAGAGCAGGAACAGACAGTCGTATCACCTTGTATGTAAGCCAGAATGGAAGTGAGAGTGGGGAAGTAATTTCGCAAGGACATCAAGTTGTGTTAAGTCAAGGCCAACAGTTCTCATCTGCAAATAATACAGCTTCACAACAAATGGTAGTGAGTCAGGCAGTATTAGCTGGCCAGCAACAGGGTACACCCACTCAAACTGTTGTTACACCACAAGGTCAGGTGATACTTCAAAGGCCTGCCACGCAAGCTGGTGTGATAATGCAGCAGGGTGGGCATATAATTCAGGGAACAACTGCTGGACAAGTTATTCAGCAAGTTATTCAACAAGGACAGTCAGGACAAACTCAAAAAGTTATCCTACATCAGGGACAGTTGGGGCAGGTTTTAGGAAGCCAAATGATTCTCTCGCAAAATAGTAGTGGCCAGCACCAGGTCTTGGTACAGGGAGGGAATAATTTTCAGGGACAAGTAATTATGCAGGGTGTTCCACATTGTCAGGGACAAGTTTTTGTGCAAGGAAATAATTCGCAAAACCAATTCGTTATGAGTGGTAACCAGGGTCAAACCGTAGTGGTCCCAGGCAGCCAGGGACAACAAGTGGTAGTTTCAAGTGCCCAAGGTCAAACTATGTTTGTTGCAGGTAATCAAGGTCAACCTGTAGTAGTGAGTGGACAACAAGGTCAAGGTGGTCAAGTGGTGATGCCTGGTAATGTGGGTGGTACAGTACTGTTGGCTCCTCAGCAACAAGGATCCACGGCAAAGACATTAATTATTTTGCCCAATCCCAAAATGGTATTAGCAGGTAACCAGCATCAAGGTGGCCAGGGCCAACAGTTAGTGTTACCACGTCAAGTGGCTGGACAGCAAATTGTACAAGTGGTGTCATCTGGAACAACTGTACCAGTTGCTACTGTCAGTACAGCACAGAGGACTGTGCATGCGGCATCCCCTATGACAGACTCGCGTGTGACACCTACCCCTCCACCTGTCCAGATACAAAGTTCTAGTGGTAGTAGTTGCAACAATAGCAGTAATAGTGCGCCAACATATAGTGCTCAGACTTCAGCTACTTTGCCCACTGCCATTGCTCCTGCTCCAGCTGGTCCTACAGCTGTTCCAGTGTCACAAACTTCAGTGAGTCAGGGGCCTCAAACACCACATGTTCCTGCCCCACAGGTGCTCTCATCTGGTGTGGCACGACGCCCTGGAAAAGCTAGTGGCTTACAATATTTATGTGAATGGCGGGGATGTAGCCAAGTGTTCAACAGTGCAGGGCAAGTGTACCACCATGCCTGCAAAGTGCACTGCCCTCCACATTTCACAGAAATACAGTGTGGATGGGCAGGCTGTGATCCCATGGTTAGAAGACGGTTTAGTGCCATGACTCATCTACACGATAGACATTGCAATGAACAGGTGAGTTTACCAAGATTTGTAGCATTGATCCTTATGTCCTGTTAATCTCATTTTACACACAACCAGTATATGAGTACTACACAGGCCTACTGGCCAATGTTGAGTACATCATTCTCAAACTTAACCATTCTCACTTACATTTCCAACCTATATTTTAAGTTACCCCAAGTTTTAGCATAGGTGACTACTGGGCAGATTGTACCACACATCTATAACACTATTGCTAATTCAGTACTTTCATACATCCTTTCTGAGTCTGAGATTACCCAACTTAATGTTCTGCTGACTTACTTAGTGGTTATATGTTCTTGGACCCAATTTATATCTCCTTTGTTAAAACCTGTCTTCCATTCGTATACTTCGCTCTTATCTCCTGTGAGTGTGTCTGTCAAGTATGTAGGTTCAGGGCTCTCGATCTATCATTGTATAAAAGATTTCTTGTGCCGTGAATTAATTTTGTAATGCTCTTCTGTGTTCTCCATTCTGTAGTATGGAAACTAGAACTGAGCCACAATATATAAATGAGGCCTTACTAATGTGTAGAGCTGGACACCTGTTACTTTTACTAATTCTGTTACCTGTGTGACAGTATGTACCACATGACTATGAGATAACTTAGTGCTGTGCTAGCCAGTGTCTACAGGGAAGACATGGACACTGATCAATTAGGTAATGTTGCTCATAGTAACATAACTTGAATTAGATATGTCTGTAATATATTGATCATAGCTACCATTCAACTTGATATACTACACCTTGAAGACAAGTACAGCAGCATTGAGCCATCAGTCTGGGATATTGGCTGTTTGGAGTGACATCTAAACTGTCATATCTTAGTGCCTCTGCAAAGACAGTGATTGTGTGAATGATAGTGAGTGTTTCTTTTTTTTTAGGTCACCCTGGCTCAGCGGGAGACTGCCGGCATGTTGGGAAAAAAAAAAATCCTATTTCTGGATATTCTCATATGCTATTGGTCACAACATAATATTAACCCTTTGACTGTCGAAGGGCCCAATCCTGAAGTGTCTCCTGGTGTCGCAAAATATTCGAAAAAAAAAAATTATTTTTTCTTATGAAAATGTTAAGATTATTTTTCTGATTGTTTTAGTCCCCAAAAAAAATTTTCCCATGAGTACTTACCGAGATATAGAGTCCTGAAGTTTGCTGAAATTGATCTGCAAGCGGCAACAGCGGCGACTGTCGGTCACCTGGTAAACTTTGATTTACTTGTATTCGATGGTTTCTTGCTTTTTTCACTATTTTATTTTTTCACATAACTTTTGTGGCCTGTGAGACCAAATTATTGTGCAATGTTCAAATATACACTCGTTGAATGTAACACAATTATAGCAAAAACACTCATATCATTATAATGTTGCTAAAACTTGTTTACACAAACAAACAATGTAAACAAATGTTTATTATGATTGTTTTATAATATATATACATATGTTATTTTCATATAGTCGGACTTGAGTCCTGGAAATGGGAAGTACAATGCCTGCACTTTAAAGGAGGGGTTTGGGATATTGGCAGTTTGGAGGGATATGTTGTGTATCTTTATATGTTTATGCTTCTAGACTGTTGTATTCTGAGCACCTCTGCAAAAACAGTGATAATGTGCGAGTGTGGTGAAAGTGTTGAATGATGATGAAAGTATTTTCTTTTTGGGGATTTTCTTTCTTTTTTGGGTCACCCTGCCTCGGTGGGAGACGGCCGACTTGTTGAAAAAAAAAAAAAAAAAAAAAAAATACATATGTGCAATCACTGGACACTTTTCTAGAAGTGCTGCAGCTTGTGGAATTCTTTGAAACATGGGTATAAGCACAATGGTGTCTTACACTCCTCACACATAAAACGAGTGTCTCTGCGTTTTTGTGGGCGTTTTGTGGTATGTCCACAGACAAAACACCTCTTCTGAGCATTTTTCTTGGCAGTAGTAGCAGGCAGTGGTATGGGGTAGTGATCACCAGGCCTCAGACGAGAGGACGAGAGGTACTTGAATATTATTTGTCTGATGACTGACAAACAAAATTCACCATATTTGGGTTTGTTCTTGGTCTTCAACTTGTACATATTATAAGCATTCAGCATGGAAACGTCAAGAAGATGGAAAAACAGTTTTATATACCACTTATAACTCTTGCGAACACAGTCAGCAAACCCAATCTGCATGTCACATTTGTCCACTAAGCGCACATTGAGGTTATAATCCATCACAGCTGCAGGTTTTACAATGGGTTAATTGGTCTCTCTATTCTGCTTGCCAGTGTCTACCATTTCGTGTCGGTGAACTGATGTCAGCAGTGTGACATCACGTTTGTCATGCCACCGAAATGCCATGATGTCATTGGCAGCAAACACCTGCACTTCACCTCTACGACTGCCAGGATCGAACCTAGGCATATGTTTACGATTTCTACGCACTGTGCCACACACATCTGTCATGTTCACTCGCAAGAAATCACTGAGTATAGGGCTTGTGTACCAGTTGTCAGTATATAAAATATGCCCCTTACCAAAATATGGCTCCATCATTGTTCTAACCACATCACCAGAGATACCCAGTAACTTCCTGATATCTTCCATTGTTTTACCGCCAGTGTACACAATTATATCCAAAACCAGACCAGTTTTGCAATCACACAGAACAAATAACTTTATACCAAAGCATTTCCTCTTGCTTGGTATATACTGCTTGAATGAGAGTCTTCCTTTGAACAAAATCAAAGATTCGTCAATAACAAGCTTCCTGAAGGGATAAAAATACATACAGCACTTTTGTTTCAGGTACATAAAACACACGTCTGATTTTATATAACCTGTCGCTTCTGTCAGGCCTGGTTTTGTCTGAAAAGTGTAACATACGTAACAGTAACACAAATCTATTCACTGGTATAATGTCACTGAAAGCAGGGGTTGAAATCAGGCGGTCTGTCGCCCAGTATGTGTTGACACTGCTTATACACATGTGGCATAAGCATTATTGTGGCAAAGAACAGATACATCTCTGCCACAGTTGTGTCCTTCCACTGGTGTAGGCGTGATCTTGGTGACAGAATAGTGCTTGCCATGGTGTACTCATAGTATGTATTGCTTTCCCTGACAATAATGTCCATCAGGGGTTCACCGAAGAACAACTGAAAGCATTCCAGTTCAGTGGGATTGTTCCCAAGTGTACATAATGGCCGTATTCCACTTTGTCCTCCATCAAAGTCATGGGGATTGGGAACAAACTCGTCATCTTGCTGCCAATCCCAGATGCGGTCAGCTGGTGCGTTCTGGATATTGTAATGTGGTTGTGGTTGTGCAGGTTGTGGTTGTGGTTGTAGGAGTGTGGGGTCGGGCGAGGCTGGTTGTAGTTGTGCAGAGCCAGCAGCGTGGGTAGTAGCGTGGCCCACTGCTGGTGTCACATGACTCATGCCACCATCACTATCACCACCACCGCCTGCTGCCTCACTCACATCATTTATACCCATCGTAACAATATCGTCATCTTCACTATCAGGACGTGGTGTAGGGCCACGGGATGTGCTCCGAGATGTGCTCCTTCCTCTTGGAAGAGCATATGGCACACTACCAGACCGCATGCGACGTCGTATATACTGCCGCTTCACTGGGGAATGTTCACCCTCACTGTCACAACTAGAACTGCTTTCAATAACCTTGAAATCACTATCACTTGCACTGCTCACATCCGAGTCTTGTACACGGGCAAATAGTTTCCTCTTTCGTCCTGGTACAGGAGAACATGAACGAGCCGGCCCAGCACCAGAGGTGGAAGGTTGTGGGTCATCTGGGTTTTCATCACTAATTATGTTATCCTGGGTAATTTTCTCGGTCACACCCGCTTCAAAACCAGGGAATTCACTTTCACTGACGCTATCATCACTGTTTGAGCTATCACTTGGGAACAAAAGACCTCCAATCCGCCGAGGAGTGAGAAACTTCTTACCGTGAGGCATGGTGAAAATGGACTACCAACAAGGCGTTCCCACAATGCACCGCTGAGTCCCAGATTTTTTTCACAGGGTGCACACCGACCACTGAGACCCATTCTCTCTCGTGTAGGCCTACCAGCCCTCTCCTGCTTGATTTGAAGCCGCTAGAATTTATGCGTATAGATACGTCAAACACGGTATCTCCCATGACGTATATATACGACCGCGACAGTCAAAGGGTTAAGACTAAGAGAGGTGTCCTTATCAGGATTTTTCTAGAGGAAACATTTTGCTACTCGTAGTGAAATGTTTCCTCTCATAGATGTCCTGTCAGATTTCACCAACTTCTCAATGCTTGTTCCTATCAAACTTCATTGTCATTGTTCCCAAATTCATTGTATTCATTGTTCCTTAACCAGAAGGTGGAGAGTCATTGCAGTCTCATTTTAATTAGGTCTGTAGGGTAAAGGTGTATTATGAGAGGGAAAACAGGTCAAGAGTAAGGTAAGCTAAAAATGGTGATTAATAGATGAGCACTGTACGTAAATACACGTATACAAAACGTCTAATTAATAAATGTCTTAAAACCTGCATATACATATCTGCACGAGGAAGAGACTGGAGAGAGAGAGCGAGGGGGGTGGGGGGAGAGAGGGAGATTGCGGCAGTCATCAAGCTTAGATGCCTTGCCTTCATACCATACATCGTACAGGTTATTTTTTCTCCAAACTCTGTGGCATACGTGATTGTCCCAGTTTCCCACAATTAGGACTAGGTTACAATTTTTTAGTAGTATTATTTTGAAAATGTGCTCTCTGGACACAAGGTAAACGGTATTCTGTTGTACATATTTACCATTGTTTGTGAACAGGTTCAGCAGGTGTGTGGATACGTGCCCACATATCTCCGTGTTTCAGTGCAAGCCAAGAGTTCTATCACTTTCTTTGATCTGAGCAAATACGTGTAACTCAATTATAGTTGAAGTTATTAAGGGGAGAACCCTGTATGCTGGTTAGTCAACATTGGTGCTAACAGCTGGTTCAAGCCTGCCTTTAAATT